ATATTCCTGACAAAGAAAAGACCATACTACCCAAAGAGTTTCAAGGCTAGTGTGGTCATTTTATTTTGGCATGCACATTTTTAATTTTTTTTAGGTCCACCCCGATAAGAGGATGAGACCCCCCCAAATTTGGTGTCAATATAATCTGTGTAAAAACAAATAAAAATAAAATAGTGTTTACCTAAGCCAACCAATAAGATCGGGGTATAGTTAATGCATAAAGAAAGGTTCCCCAATTGGTAAAGGCACATTTCAATGTCCATAATCATGGTTTGTTGCTGAAAATCTCTACTTGTGCTGTCATGGTGCATATCAAGGTCTTGGGTTCAAAGCCCAGCTTGACGCCGTCTCCCTCTCTATCAAATATCCTTTAAATCTATTCTCGCTTATTATAAAAATTGAAGCAACAAGATCTCTTCCACTATAAAAAAGCCGCACTCTGCAATAAGCTTTTTCTTGTTTCTAAGTTATGAGGTTACAGGCGTCAATGTGGACCCTTAAAAGGGTGAACAAACACCCTTCCAACAGTTCAGTTCAGATTCAAAAAGTCCATCATGTCCAGATTTGTGCAAAAACTCGTTACCAATAAAGTTCAGTCCCGTCATGCGTCAATCGAAGTGAAATCGAAAAGAGATCTCTTCCTCATGGATCGTCAGTCAGTAGTCGGGTCAAACTTGTGTAAAACCAAAACACAGGCTTGTGATGTCAGTAGGAAAATGGGAAAAGAGTTTTCAAAGAATTTTCAAATAGAAGCATAAAGATATATGCAGAGACAAAGAAAATACATGGGAAGTTGGTTCCTCTAGCCCCGCACCCAATGTTGGGGCCCAAATCAAACCGAAAGGTTGTCTGTAGTCCTTTTTCCTTTGAGGTTTGGTGAAACGGAGTGAATTTTAGCAGTGAGTTGCATAAGGTTTAGGGTTTACTGTCACCTGATGTCTATGGGGTGTTGCTAGGATTTAGGGTTTGCTAAGTTTTGCTTAATTGGGAACTGTTGAGAGTAGGGGTCTGGTTTCATATTTGTTCTCTCTCAAAACTTACTCAAGTCCCCAATTTGGAAGATTTTGGATTTTTTATTTATTTATTTATTATTATTTGGGAATGTTCATAAATTTGGAGCATGGTTTGGGGGTAGAGTAGACCTTGGTTTTCCTATGGTTCATCATGCCAGTTGGGTCCCTCGGGTTTTAGAAGTAAAAAATAAATCAAAATTTCAGAGGGGGTTACATAAAAACAATAAGGAATATTTTCAAAAACGTTTACCCTTGAATTTTTTTTTAAAATATTTCTTATTGTTATTTTTTATGTGCCATATAAAAGAACACCTATTTCATGAATTACAGCAAAAAATATTTTTTAAATAAAATTAAAGAAATTAAAAGTGAAAATTATAATCTATGAGGGCTTAGTCAATCTGAACCGTTGGAGATGTGCATCTAGGTTCACCTCTGCTTTGACTTCCATACCCTTTGCCAAAGGAGGAACGCTTTCTATGTCACAAATTGGTTTTTAACCATCTTGATCGAACGACTCAAGGTTTTTTTACTTTTAAATTTTATTATGCAAATCATTTTAAGAAAAATTTTTAGGCATGCATAGATCTGACAGGAGCGCACATGATAGAAATAATAATAAAATATTTTTTGAGATGAAAACTTACTATAATACCCCTGAAAATTGTAGGGTGATTTTGGTCATTTACTTATACAAAAAAAATTTATTTTTAATTTTTCCTAGGTTTGCCTTAATTTTATGAATATACGATCAAAATTTCATCCAAAAATATTTTGTAGAAACAAAATGAAAAATAAAATAACATTTGACATGGCATTCGGGTCAGATCAGTAAAAGTCGTGGGA